ATGGTTTTATCGATCATAGCAGAATCGATGGACTTAACTACACAGACGAAATAGACTGTGAAGAAGATTGGCCTTGTAACAATGCATATACACGATGTGATGGAAAATGGAATTGTCGCAATGCAATCGATGAAGCTAACTGTCCTTATAATCCATGTCGTCCAAATGGTCGTCCTTGCATATTACCATTTAGTCACAATTTTACTTGCTTACCTCTATCACGAATCAATGACGGTCGTATTGATTGCGTAGGTGGTTATGATGAACAAGATCGCTGTGAACCACAGCTGCAATCATTACTACGTAAAACTTATCGTTGCTTTAATGAGACACAGTGCATCTATATGTATGAGATGTGTGCTTCAAACGTACCACATTGTTCATCAGGAGATGACCAAGATCTATGGTGTAAAAAGCTAAATTTATCAGATGTTGTAGATTATTCGGATATTTTTCAACAATCACGCGATTTCGATTATCACTTCTATGACTATCAACTAAATTTTGGCCTACAGAAAGATTCTTTTGCCTATTTTACATTGAAAAATCATCTTCTCTATCCTTTTCCTATTGAGACAATTACCAACGAGTATAATTCTATCGCAGCAACAACTGTGGAATCTGTTCATTCTAACCCATTTGATTTCAAATGGCATTTGGAATCGAATAGTCATGGTTTAAGTTCAATTTGTAATCGTGGAATTCCGATCTATGTGAATAGTTTCTCAGAAAATTCTTGTTTATGTCCACCAGCCTATTTCGAACATCGATGTGAATATCAAAATCAACGAATTAGTCTTACATTACGGTTTCGAACAGTTGACTTGCGAGCAGTATTCAATTTTGTTATCATGCTTATTGATGAAAGTACAAACATTCATTCGTCGGAACAACTTGATTATGTGTCCGTACGTGATTGTTCGAAAAAATTCAATTTCTATCTTCTCTATTTGACGCGACCAAAAAATGCCAGCCGAACTTATTATTTACGTATTGATACATATAATAAAGAAAAAATGAAATATTATGTTAGTATGATCTATCCTATTCAATATTCATTCTTACCAGTACATCGTCTTTCACTACAAGTCGATGTTTCAGTACCAAAAGTTACAGGCAAATCGAAAATTTGTCCTTTAAAATGTTTGCATGGACAATGTAGACATTTTTCCAATTCCGATCAATACTTCTGTCAATGTTCTGAGAGTTATTCTGGAATGTTATGTACAATAAAGAATTCATGTGATTGTTCATCAGATTCGATTTGTATTGGAGTTGTAAACAATCGATCAATATGTGTTTGTCCTCTTGATAAATTTGGACCACGTTGTTATCTGAAGAGGATAGCTTGCGTCTCGAATCTGTGTTCTAATAATAGTCGATGTATTCCTCGTGATGAGAAAAACTTCGAAATGGAATACTTTTGTCTTTGTTCTCAAGGTTACATGGGTTCAAGATGTGAAAGTCTCGAGACAAAAATCGAATTTCATTTTTCTAAAACGATATCCATTCCACAAACGATTTTCATTCATTTTATCTCTATTCCACCAAAACCTAACTCACCTCTAAGAATACCTCCTTCTGATCCAACACAGATAACTATGATGTCAAAATTAAAGTTTCATGAAAGTTCAACTATTGTTTATTATGGAGGAGCATTCCATCTAGTATTTCTAGAATTTCATCAACAATATTATCTTGCTTTACTTCAACATAATTTTACATCAGCAATGAATGTTTCAACGACAAATATTCCTGAACATCGATGTTTATCAATCAAAGACTTATTCACTGATGATATTTGAACCTTATCACGATGTCATCGTGCTAAAAAATATTATATTCTATGTCTAAAACATTCAAATCTTACATGTTTCTATGACAATGATTACTTTATGTGTTTATGTGACATTGATCGATGTCCAAATTGTTTCAAATTCGACTATCCTTCTACTTATAATTTTTTAGGGTATAATTATTGTGAAAATAATGGTCAATGTTTTCAAGACAATAATACTTGTCCAACATCATCGGCATGTTTGTGCAAAGAATGTTATTATGGTAGTCGACGTCCATTTACTACAACAGGATTTGGCCTATCACTCGATGATATTCTTGGTTAAAATTACTTTCTTTTAGTTAATTTTATACCGTGAGCTGGAAAAA